TATCTATCCTATCTACATTCGTGCAACAGGATCACTTCGCCGTCGAAGACCAATGTACATGACGTCAACACCAATGCCGACCTCCCACATACACCAGGTACTCATCAGACCTTGTCCTCCCACTCATGCACCTCCTCCCTGAAGACCACCGTCACCCATCACCAGCCCGCGCCCCTGCAGCCCGGCTTTGCCACTAAGAGCCTCGCTGCCCTGCAGCGCCCCACTTCACCTCATAGCGCCCGCATGCGCCCCAGCCAGCAGGGCTAACGCAGACACTTGCGCAGTGAGGCAGCAGCGTGTCCGCATTGCCTACAGCGGCCAGAATGCCTTCCCCTGGTCGGCCTCCTCCCTATATGGGATTAGCTGCCCTGCTGGGCTGCCTGGGCCTGGCCGAGGAAGTTTCCAGTAGCTTCTGTTCGGGCCCCAGTGTCTGTGCCCACGCCCATTCTTACAGTTAAGGGCCTGGGCCCTTTTCAGTTGGGCACCTCCAGGATGCCTCTAGGCTCCAAGTGTCTGCCGTGTTTTCATTGGCCTGCAGGGTAGGTGTGACGACAATGCTGCATTCCAATTGGCGCGCGGCCACTTCGTGATGTGTCGGCCTCACACTGCGTGTGCCCAGGGTGCAACCACCTGCGCCCTGAGTCAACGGCTTGGCGCAGCTGCTGCTTCTGGAAAGAGCCCAGGGAGAGGCCGAGGTTGCACTTCAACCAAGTGGCGTGCTGCAACTGTCTGGTACCCACGTTGGAAAATGCTGAGATAAGGGACTCTCGTGGATATTCAGCCCCGCCTTCACTTAGGGCAGGGGCGAGGCTTGCTGGGGGCCTCAGTCCAGAACATGTGCATGTTGGCTAGGGCCCCATGACGAGACATTCCTCGCATGGAACTCCGCTTGAAAGGATTTTTTTCTCTTGCTAAATTCCCTTTTTTTGTGATGTTTGGATACGTCTCATTTTGCGGGCGAGTTGGGGGCGGAGATTTCAGGGGTTTTGGGGGTTCGGAGGGGTTGGGGGTTTGGGGGTGCTTGGGGTGTGGCGGGGGGGGGGGGGGGGGGGGGGGGGGGGGGGGGGGGGGGGGGGGGGGGGGGGGGGGGGGGGGGGGGGGGGGGGGGGGGGGGGGGGGATTGTGGGGGGGGGGGGGGTGGGGGGTTGGGGGGGGATTGGGGGGGGGATGTCGGATCCTTGGGTGCGGGTCGATGGTTTGGGGGGCCCTCCAGGGGTGGATAGGGTACTCGGTGGTAGGGTAATTGGGTGTCTGGGGAAGTCGGGGGTTCTGGGGGGGCCGAAATCTAGTTGTTGTGAAAGGGGCCTGGGGTTGGGATAGTGGGGGGGTTGGGGGAGTCATAATTTTGTATTTTTGTCATAATTTTTTATTTTTATGTTTTTGTTTTAAGTGCGCAGGGGTGGTGCGCCACGTGTCCGAACCCCCACGCACCTGTTGCGGAAATGTCGGGAGGCCGCCGTTTTCCCGTTCAACGGGAATTCAACGTGGCTCTGGGGGTTTTAACGGGTTTCAACGCCCGTTAAAGTGGACCCCCCCTGTGTTGAAAAGACACTCAGCTGACGTGGCCTTGTAACCAACTGGTGCGTGGAAACTGTCTTGTTTCCCACAATGCAGAAATGACAAAAATAAAGCCTCTTTGCAAAATGCAGGCCAGCCTTCACTTAGGGCGGGCACAAGGCTTGCTGGGGCCCAAAGGGCAGTCGGGTGTCAGGCCAAATACGTCTTCGTGAGGGCTCAATCCTCGAACAAGAACTGAAACGAGGGACCCGATAAGACACATAATTTGGTGGATTGCAGTAACTGTCCTTTCAAATTGGCAGATGGTACCGACAAGGGCTGTAGACTGGAGCAGACAAACGCAGTTCATGAAAAAAGCCTTCTGCTGAAACTCGTGGACATTTAAAAGGTAAAAATAAAAATAAAAACTCTCCCAAGATCAAGGAGTCAGGCGAGCCTGATGTAGTATCCCCCTTTATTTGTTGACCTCATGGTTGCTGATAAAGGTGCAACCTTGGGACCAGAGCCAGATAGTTGACTTTCTAAGCGGTAACAAAGGAGGATAAGCTCAGAATATGAGAGGACATACTCATGCTAGGATTTCCCAACATGTATCTAACAGTCACAGCGTCCAGGTTCAACTAAGAAAGTGTCAGTACACCCTGAGTGGCCCCCAGTATCAAAATGAGCAAACCGGCAGGCACTTTGCACAATATAGTTGGCATAGCCACTTCACAGAAGTAGGGAAGCGGTCTCCATAGCAGCTGGTGGCGGAGCCCTCCGATATGGGAGGGCACCACAGACAGTGGGAAAAAATACATAACCGCTGAATCCGGCCGGCATCAACAACAAGGGTTACGAGGTACAATTTTTATGTGTCTCGTGATAGGAAAGAGTTTACAAGAGAGGCCACCTGTTACCGAAGTACCGATCCCTGTTGAGTGTTATGTGAGACGTCACTTTGCAAGAATGGGCAAGGTAGAGAGGGGAGGAAAGGCGGGGCGGGGCCGAGGGGAAAGGGAGAGAAGACAGTAGGGGAAGGGGGAGAAGGCAGCAGGGAAAGTATGTTTGACAGATCTTACCCTTTGTTTTCAGTGCTGTAAGGTAGTCCTGTGTGGACTTATTTCGCTTGATAACCATTCTGGCACGAGACCAAAACTCATTCCTCACCCCCTCTGTTCCTTCTCCCACTGGCTCCTGCTCCATACTGACAGAAAGAGGAAAAAATGGTAAAGGAAGGGACAGGAAAACATACATGAGCACATGAGCATTCACATACATGGATAAGCAGATAGCCATGAAGCAGGAGCACAGTGTGAGGATTGAGCCCTTAAGTAGGGGCCTTGCCATGATGTACATGTTCTGGGCTAAGGCCCCAGCAAGCCTCGTGCCCGCCCTAAGTGAAGGCGGGCCAGCAAATCAACAAG